TGAATATTACACGAAAATCGAATTCTAATACAAATTCCTACATATTTGTTGGATCCAGCAAGAGTAACAGGGATTACATATGTCTGAAATGCTAATCCTAACCCTAGCACAGCAAACAACAATGCCCTGGACTGTCAGTGTCATTACATGCTGTGAATATGAGTCGCCTTGATCACATTTTCAAGTAGAAAAGAAAAGAAAAGGAAAACACACAGAGAGAAAAAAGGTATAACAGTGTGGGGTCATTTTCTTCCCAACTGACAAGAAAAGTACTTTTCATGACTTAGACCTATAATGCATGTTAGACTGTCAGCGTTCTTGTTTTATATGCTTCTGTACTGTTAGGGTCACCATCTCTATTTCAGTATAATCAATATGCAAAAACAAAACCCTAAAAGTTATACATGAATTTGACTAACGGCATTATTAATAGCATATTTTTTTCCAATTTTCTAAAAAAACATGATGACTTTGCAAATAAGTGCAACTCTCATTTTGTCACATTTCTAATATGGAATGTGACAAAATGAAAATGAAAGTAACAGAAACGTTCTAAATAATAAAGTATTTATTATTTTAGTTCTATAAAATTATTAATGCAAATTCTAGTATCAGTCTATAAATAGCCAAGCATAGTAGTCACATGTGCCAAAAGATGTCATTATTATACCAATTAGTAATGTTAATACCACAATATTAGCTGCAGGGGGCAGTATAGCCACAGGTAATGGAGTATTATATTGATGTCTAATGTAAAGTAGGCCACTGAGTGTTGGAAAGATATTCTTTGAAGATAACTCCCTTAGGGCTGAGAAAACAACAAAGAAGCTTCGAAATGATAATAATACAATAATAGTAATAAATGGTGCATGAATGAGAGAAATAAATCATGGATTGTTGGCTTTTAGACAAATCTTTCCACGAAAACCCAGACTGAGTTGAAAGCTCTCTGATTATGGCCAGTGTTACTTACTGTAAGTTAATCTAAGTTATCATGGCATGCTGCTCCGTCACAGGCTGCCAGCTCTCCTGGATGTATACGGCACAAATGTGGTGACAAAGAGATCTTTTCAGTGCTGCAGCCAGCCAAAAGATCTCTTATTTGCACTTGTCCCGCATCTGCTTATTGTTTTGAATGTACATTGTAGGACATAAAGAAGTAATTTATTGGAGATAAAGTAACTAATTATTGTGAACTTGTGAGTCCACAAGCTTATTATTTTGGTTAAAATCATTCACAAGTAACAAGACTATTGTGTTATGGCTCAATATGTCACGGTCATGGTCAGGGACCCAGTGTTTAGTGTTGTTTATTATTAACAGTCTTTTATTTTCGCTTTCTGTGTTCAACGTTTGCTGCCGTATCCCCTTGTGTCTGTGTTATGCTTCCTGTTTTACTTTGAAAGTCTGTGTCCTGTGTTAATGTTTTCAGTTTTGCTTCCCCTTGGTCTCTCACGCTGTACTCTCCTCTCGTGTCTCATTTGTGGATTTAAGCCCTGTGTCTTCTTCTGTTCGTTGCTGGTTCGTCTGTGTATCATCCGTGACATTTCCCCTGTCTTTAGTCTTCTTTTTACTTGTTTCTAGTTTCCTCCCTGTTTAGGTTTTGTTAGTTTAGTCTTTGTATTCCTGCATTTGTGTTTATGGTTTTGGGCTGCGTCAATAAAAGGCACGTTTTCAGTTTAAGTCCTCGTCAGTGCCGTTTGGGTCCACATCTGCCCTAGCAGCCGTGGCACAAAGTGAGTGGAACTACAGAATTAAACGTCTTGGAAAAAGGTTTAGTGTATGCTGCTGACATTAACACCAACTGGTACGTTGCTCTCTGAGGTCTTCGTTTGTTTTTTTATGTGCAGATGGATTTTTCCTGCTGCAAACTCAGCAGCAATAATGAACTACTTTGCTTCCAACAACAAGTCCTTTGTCACTGTGTTTGTTTGTTTTCTTAAGATAGAAACTGTTGTTTTGATTACGCAAAGTCTGTCCTCACGGTGCCAACTGAAACAACTCCTAATTAGCAGGAGAAGTGTTTATTAAGAAGCCTGGCTGTGAGATCCAAATGGTCAAAAAAAGACTGGCAACACATATAAACTCTAATGTGTTCAGTGAGATAATGATAAGTCAACTTCCTGGAGCAATATACTGTGTTTTTTTTAACACCAGGGTCAAAACTTAGAGTGAGATAACACGATGTTCCCAGCAAAGATGCCCATGTGGGTCTACAGCGAGTCGCTGCAGGTGCACTGTGGGGCTGTGTGGGAGGGGCAAATCTACACTTAACCAATACAGACCCCAAGTTAAGTAACATTCTCGTCTACACTTCATATCGGTTGGTGCCAGTGATGCACTATGGGACATATATGGGGCCCAGTACCAACCACAGCAAGCAGCTCACTGTGGGCTAATGTGGGTCTGCCTAGGTCAGTGCCCCCACACGAACCCCAAACAGGCACCTTTGCTAGACAATCTTTTGTTTGTTTGTTTGTTTTTTACAGGACAAATGACAACAAATACAGTAAAACATCACAGTACAGCTTTTCACCAATATTACTCAACAAATAAGGTCAATTAAACTTCTTCTGAATAACACATGTCTAGTTTCAGGTTGTTTTGCTGTACAGTCCAGCAGGAAAGTCCACAGCAATAGAAACAAATCTTTTTCAGTTAAGAGCTATTCTGGTATAAAGAAATTTTAAATGCAACCTTGTGATGCGTCTTGGCTTTTCACTTTGAATTTGACTGGAGATGTTTAACTAAAATGAATATTATTCATTCATTATTATTATGAATTATCTGTTACAGCAACAATGTGAAAGAGAATAACTTTCTTTGAACTTTGGACTCACTGGTAAAACATATAAACTTTAATGTGTTCATAAAAGCCCAAACCTGTTCACTACTTTGGTTGCACATAATTACTTTAGTCAGCAAAGGCGTCCACTAGCTTCACCATAAGTAAAATTTCTGAGTTGAATAAAACCGACATAAGAAAAGAGATCGTGACAAACAAAATGACACAGAGTGAGTCGTTCTGTTCGTTTAATGTGACAACATACAAAGAGATAAATGCCAAGAACTGAAATTTCTACAGTGGCATGTAAAATTAAGCTAATACACGTGCACACACACTCTTTGTCTCTATGTCAGACACACTTACTTCTCTGTCATTCACACATTTGGTGTACATCCTAAATCCCTATGCACATCAATAGCCAGTGTTTTGTCACCAGTCTTCTGGAAGATGAAAAAAAAAAAGTCTCTACTTTTCATCACCAAGTTGATCATGAAACAAATGCTAATAGCTACAATCAGACCAGGCTAAAACATACGAGGACAGTGTTTTGTTGTACGTTTACCGAGCTTAAAAGGTTCTCGACTAAAGACAATCACACAAATATTGTTATTTATCCAGAACTGTAAAGATGTGCCTCATTGAATGGGTGCCAACACATTTGCATTGCCACTGAAGCTCAAACACATATCTGCTTCAGCCTACCATGTATTCGCTTTCTGTAAATTCGCAAATGTTGCAACTTTGAATCTCAGCAGCTGCAGCGTTTAACAGGGTCGAGCTCCCAAAGAGCAGTAAGCTTTTGATCTGGATTTATCTGTCAAGGCACTCGTCCTCTTTACTGAGTGTGTACGGCAGGTCGGCAAAACATAAGAATATGAGACAAGGGCTACTTCCTCCTCACAAGTATTTATAAGAAAACACATAAGAATTAATATTTCAATTTTATGTTGAAGGTGTTCAATTTATATTTTAGTCCTTTCATTAAGTTATTCCTGTGTGTTTTAACCCAGGTCTGGTACAGTGGTGGT